TTTTTTTTTTTAATCTTAATGAAAAATGTATGTAAATGGAAAGAAAAAAAGGAATTGAAATAAATCACTAAAACCTTTTTTGCGGGGCCATGAGTCATTTTAATGATGTTATGAGTCAACCCTCATATTATGGTACTCTAATGTAATCTCTTTCTCTCTCTCTCCCTCTCTCTCATCATGTGATGTATTAGGTTGCTGAGTTCAATCAAACCAGGCCTTGTGAAAAAGATCAATAGACTTCCAACACCCATTGCAGGGCTGGTGAGTGTGGTTAGTGTGTGTTTGTTTGTTCATTTGTTTTCCATGTGCTTGTGTTGTTCTGTGCCTGTTTGTGTCAGGCCAGTCTCAGCACTGCTGTCTCAGAACAAATCCAGTACTGTCCCAGTTTGTGCGTGTATCTGTGTGTGTGGTAGTTATTTTATGTTTATGCCGTCCTAATATCAGATAAGTACAGCCCCTAATGAGAGAATCAAGTGAAGCTTATCAGTGGTTTATAGTTATAGCTCAAAAGCAGTCTTTATCATAAGTGTCATGGTATGCTATTTTGTGCCCCTTGCAAAAGTAGACGAAAACTGCCTAAAACACATTCTACACAACTTTAGATGACTGTTCTTCAAATAATGAGATTCTTTTCCTCACTCTGGATTGATAACATGCAGCTCAAACATAGTGTGTATACATGTGGCCTGTAATTGCCACATATAGTGGGCAGCAGGTGCATAATATGTAATAATATAATATTTCTTCTCATCAGGATAATCTGACCATGTTTCTGAGAGGATGTGAAGAGCTGGGATTGAAGGGATCACAGCTGTTTGATCCCGGAGACCTGCAGGATACGTCGATACGAGCAAACTTAACGTATGTGTGTGTTTGTGTATGCGGGAACAGATGGTATAAGGAGGAGCAGGAGACTGATTATGTGCAGAAAAATAAATGGGATAAATAATAACAATTAATTTGGTGGCTATAGGACATCTTGCCTTTTAGTCAATCACAGCAGCTCATCTTTTTCCTCTAAGAGCATAGATTTACATTAACTAACCAATCTGAAAACAAGCTGTTTTTGCGAAAGACGCTATATTTTGGTTTTAATTGGTGATTGGAATTGTTTAACTGAAACATAAGCTAAGCCAGCAGTTTTTTTTTGAGAATTTTGGTAAATCCCTATTCAAGTAGTAGGTATTAGATGATCTTACACTACCGTTCAAAAGTTTGGAGTCAGTAAGATGTTTACAATTTAAGATGTAACATTCAGAAAGGATTTATTAAATTGAGCAAAAGTTAGTTTTACATTGGCAAAGACTTACATTGTTACAAAAAAAACTGTTCTTTTGAACTTTCTATTTATCAAAAAATCCTGAAAAAATGTATCAGTATTCACAAAAAAATTAAACAGCATAACTGTTATGTACATTTACAATAATAAGAATTTTTCCTTGAGCATCATTAGAATGATTTTTGAAGGATCACGTGACACTGAAGACTGGAAAATGGCTGCTGAAAATTCAGCTTTGCATCACAGGAATAAATTACATTCAAAAAATATATTGAAATAGAAAACACTTGTTTTAAGTTGTAGTAATATTTCACAGTATTTATTTATCAAATAAATGCAGCTTTGGTGAGCATAAGAGGCTCCTTTCAAAAACTTTAACAAATCTTACCAACCCCAAACTTTTCAATAGTAGTATATGTCTTTTGCTTAGATAGAAAACTGCTGTTTTCTCTCTTTTTCTGCTGTAGTGGCTCTGACTGCAGTAGAAAGCTGAAGAATGTAAGTACACTGAACAATTTTCATAATCTTTGCATGTCAGTTTGTTTGATTTACATTTTTGCTGATTGTTTTAAATTCTCCTCTGTGTTTTTGAATAGGTGCTCATAACCATATACTGGCTTGGTAAAGCTGCTAACAGCTGTGCAACATATAACGGCCCCACACTCGACCTGAAAGAGTTTGAGGGGCTCCTTTCCATGATGCGAAAGGTAAATCAGATCTTGTCAAGAACACTAAACCTTTAAAACAGCCTGATAAATAAAATAATCGATACACTATTATGATTTTCATTCTCTTTTTTTTATGTACATTTGGTGTGCAGGAGTGTGTAAATGAAGATTTAGACTCCCCTAAGCGCAGTATAAGGGACAGCGGTTACATTGACAGCTGGGAATCAGAGCGCTCTGATTCGCTGTCTCCTTCGAGGCATGGCCGTGATGATTCGTTTGACAGTCTCGACTCATTTGGCTCACGATCACAGAACACACCCTCCCCAGACACAGTTATTCGCTGCAACAGTGATGGTATGACTTACTCTTCTATTTATTTTTTGTCATCATGCTAGATCTTGTTAAGTCAGGAAATATTTTCAGTAGTCATGAAATACTAATTGTCTGTAATTGTGTAATAATATATCACAATAGTACTGTTTTTGCTGTATATTTTTGATCAAATAAATACAGCCTTGGTGAGATTAGGAGATGACACAATACTTTAAAATGGCAGAGTATAATTTTGTTATATGTATTTTTTTTTACTGTTTGAGACATTGAATAGTCAAAGCATTGAAAATATAATTTCGCACATGATTCTTATATCTTATGCACACACACACACACACACACACACACACACTTACGTCAGACTCTCCATGTCTGTCCTGTCAGCAAATCTTCATGCAAGAGCAGCTGGGGGTAAATACACACTCGGCACACAATCATGAACTCCGGACTGAAAGGAAGAATAATACATTCCCACATATGTGCAGTGGGGGTGTGAGATTGCAGCTGTTGTACTGGACAGACATTTAAACACTCATCCGTGAGTGTGTGAGAGGCACGACATGAGCTGTATCTGATTAGTAAATCCAGACATGGACAGACTCAAAACAGTGACTGAAAAAAAAACATAAAAGACCAAGGAGCTTCTAAATCGTGTGTGTGTGTGTGTGTGTGTGTGTGTGTGTGTGTGATTTTCAGTTTAAAGATAAGGCAGCAGTTTTATTTCAATTGTTTTGTTTTTGAAACAGCAACCTTTTGACAATAAGTGAATTTTTAGCTATTCTTGGTTACTATATAACACAAAGTTTTTATTTAAGCCAACAAGTTTAATTATGATTAAGGTGAAAATAAAATAAAATGAAATAATAAAACCAAAGACATACAAATCATCTACTAAAGAAAAATCTGTTTCAACTCGCATCTTAGTACCATTATACATTTTATTTAACTGTGTGACAATGGAAGTACAGTACAGCAAGAAGCTTTTGGCATGTTGATGTTAAAGGGGTCATATGACGTTGCTAAGAAGAACATTATTTTGTGTATTTGGTGTAATGCAATGTGTTTATGCAGTTTAAGGTTCAAAAAACACATTATTTTCCACATACTGTACATTATTGTTTCTCCTCTATGCCCCGCCTTTATGAAACGCATCGATTTTTACAAAGCTCATCGGTCTGAAAAGCGAGGTGTGCTCTGATTGGCCAGCTATGCAGTGCATTGTGATTGGCCGAATACCTCAAGCGTGTGACGGAAATGTTACACCCCTTACCATACTGTGATGCCGTCTCCTGGTGCGACGAGACAAACCCAGTAAAACACATTATAAACGAGGCATTTGTTGTATCCAGTTGGGACATAAGTACTGATTATAATGATACTGTCTTTTTACGCATTGCGTTGCGTATCGCGCTGCGTAAACATAAAACCATGTCTGCATTTGTGATCGGAGAAACGACAATCAACAAGCCCTACTCTACACTGCTCAAAACTCGCGTTTGCAAATTCTTTAAATATGAAAACTTACTGCGAGTCAGAAGCGCCAGACTGTCCTTGCAAATTTGGAATTGCCCAACTTTATAGAAACAGACACCGGCATTATAGGCTACTCTCTCAGGAAACAGTCCTCCTCCTCCATAAAATGCACTGCACACATCTGAATATTTGGGTTGAACTGTTCTGGAACAGTGTTGTAAATACAACTTAACCACTGATTTCTAGTTGTGTCCTCTTTTGGAAGACCAAACAAAGTAGTTTCGCTTTCACAATGAAACACACAGCGACTCTTTGCGTGAACATTTGGGCGGCGTTATGCAAGACAAGCTTAAACATATTTGCACTCAAATGCATGCACTTCACTCACAGCCACTTCACAGCTTTCGACTCTGATCTAGATGATGGTCAGATGGCAGCATCAAACCCAACACACAATGTATGAAATTTGAATGCTGGTTCTCTTTAAACACCTAAAAATATGAAACACTAATAACAAATACCACACATTTTGACAATAATAAATAACAATAAGAAAAAATGATAAAAACAAAGCATGTTTTCTCTCACTATATCCTTCTGACAGACTCCGAAGGTGACGCTGGACATAGAAAGTTGCCAGACGTGCGTAAGGATGACATGTCTGCCCGCCGCGTGTCCTGCAAAGAGCCTCGCGCAGCTCTACCCTTTAATCAGTATCTGCCAAACAAGAGCAACCAGACCAACTACCTTCCTGCTCCCCTGAGGAAGAGGAGGAGCGACAGAGAAGAAGACAGGAGGAGTCCGAGCAACTCAACATCTCCTGTAGGAGGAGAAAGACCTCTCAGGTAATCAAAGCCGCTATGATAGACAGTAAGTGTTTGGTTTGTTTGATTTCTCAGGTTGTGGCTGGAAATCCCACTTCTGGCTGCAATATGGCTGAGACACATCATACATCTGAACAAAAATCAGTACACACAAGCATCATCTGTTTCATCTGTCTGAGTTTGTTTGATTCATCCTGTATTATCCACAAGTGTGTTGGTGAGCGCTGTGAAAATTCCCATTGCTCCCCACAGACAAGAATGCTTAGAAGTGTTAAAAGAGGGGGCTGTCGTGTCTCGAAGCCTTGCGTTCCAGAAAAATTCCACCTGGGTGAATGAGAAAGGTGCGGAGCTTGAGGAGGCGGAGCTTAAGAAAATGAGAAAGCTGGAAAAGGCGGGAATAAAAGTATTACCTTCCTCTGTGCGATATATCAGGTCAGCGGTTGAATGCATGTTTATGCAGTGACTAAAACTGCTAACTAGTTGTGTGTAGGGCCTAGTAGCTAAAGATAGGTGCTGGTAATCACAACGCTTGATGAGTTGTCATCTAACCCCAGGTTGCTGTGTGGGAAATGTCCCTTTATACTTTTGCTTTGAATTTGTGCTGCCAAGAATTGTTTCATCTACATTATAGCATGGCGTTGACACGGTTGTGAATTAGCTTTAGCCTTTGTAGCTTAGCTAATGTTTTGAGTTGATGTCAGCTATGTAGTGCGAAGATATACTGACTTGTTTTGTCAGCTTGTGAATGTATTGGATGTGATTCTGACTAGTCTGAATCTGTGCTAATTTGTGATGAGGAGAATATGTGTGTGACTTTTTATTGGGTTGAGCATATTATGTTAGTTATGCTAATTTGGCTCATTCCGTCTGCATCAACTTCTGATACGGAAAGACTAACATCTTTACGTTATAGTGCGCAACAGTCCCATTTATTTTCTCCACAGGGGAGTTTATTTTGAGTGATAACTTTTAAACTATGACCTACTGTGGGCTACAAGGTTGTTAATCGATGGTATATCAACATTGTTTAAACTTATTCTTAAAGGTCCCATGACATGCTGCTTTTTGGATGCTTTTATATAGGCCTAAGTGGTCCCTAGTACTGTATCTGAAGTCTCTTTCCCGAAATTCAGCCTTGGTGCAGAATTTCAGCCACTACGAGCCAGTCCCACAATGAGCTTTCCTTAGGACGTGCCATTTCTGTGTCTGTAGCTTTAAATGCTAATGAGGAGGAGAGAGGCGGGGCAACTGCCATGCTTCGCTCGTTTGCAAGCCATGATGTCTCTCGAGGAAAAAAAAATATTGCGCTCGCCTCGCACGGTAGTAGCTCATTTTCTCATGGGCGGGCCAAATTCTCTGGGCGGGCAAAGCAGAGAAAGGGGAGGTAACCTTTCCCCGTATGACGACATAAAGGGAAGATTCCAGATTGGGCCATCTGAGCTTTCATTTTCTCAAAGGCAAAGCAGGATACCCAGGGCTCGGTTTACACCTATCGCCATTTCTAGCCACTGGGGGACCATAGGCAGGCTAGGGGAACTCATAGTAATGTTAAAAAACCTCATAAAGTGAAATTTTCATGCCATGGGACCTTTAAATAATCATGTTCAGCAGCGGAATTCCTGGTAAAAACTATATTACCCATGATTCTGCAGAGAAATTTCCACCAATCAGAGAATCATGACAAGCAAATCATGTTAAAAGAGCTCTTAAGTGTCTGCCCATTTTGCAATAAATGTAAAACATAATGCACGATATTGGATTTTTTCCACACACTCAAAATCAACATCTTTAAATAAGTAGTTTTAAATTTCTTGTTTTTAATTTCATTATGTCATTATGCCGTATGGAAAAAATTAATGGGAAAAAAACTTCCGGAAACCAAGGCCGCTAAAAAGTGGAAGCACACTGTTGCACTCTGTTTTTCTAAAATATATTCAAATGTTGTCATGGCGAATTTTCTCCTCAGTCCAATTGTGAACTCTGTGGAGGACAGTGAAGCTAAACCACCTTCACCTGACATCATTCTCCGTCGTGACAATGAGTTCATGCGCGCCACTGCTCCACAACAGTGGGATTCGAATGAGGAAGATGATGACGAAGAGGCAGAACGGAAGGTTCCAGATGTCCAAAAGGATGATCTTGCTTCTCGCAGAGCACGAATGAATCAGTTTAAACCCAGCGTGGCACATCACTTCCTGCCAAGCACTTGTAGCTGGAAGGACCAAGAAAAATGGGAGGGAATCAGACTGGCATCCCAGCATGCCGTGTTGGAGAGGATGGAGAAGATAGAACAGGAGAAAAGAAGGTGTGCTTGTGACAGAGAGTGATGGGGTCTCATGCTCAGGGACTAGTTATATTGGCTTTACAAACCTAACACAATGTTATTGGACAAATCTGGGTCAGGGTTTTTTCAAACTCATTATCTCAGAGACTTGCGGCCATAGTTTGCTAATGACGCTTTGGGAAAAACACCCCAGAACTGACCAGCAACTGCTCAAAACAACATACTGGCTAGTGGCTAAAAAGAGCTTACAGCTCATCAAAATACAAATCTCTCTTCAAAATACCAATGTTTTCAAAGTATACACAGCTGATATTACACAAAATTAAACTTCTCTCTTCAAACTGCCCAACGATTCAAAGAACATAAAGACTGTATAACCTTAAAACAAACCTTCAGTTCAACAAGTTTGTCTTCAATATCTTTACTTTTGTAGTATAGTGTTGTTCTATTTGCCTCTGTAGCTCTAGTATCTTTTCTGATTACAGAGTTTGTCCATACATTACATACCATACATGTGGTATTATGCATTGTGCATAGAAATTAGGTGTATACCCTTATAATTGGTAATGGTCTCTAGGCAGTATTGGTATTGTTGCTGTGTTCTGTGGGATGATGGGTTAATCTTTTCTGTTTCTTATAATGCTACATTTCTACCACAGTCAGGCGGACTCCGCCTCCCCTGAGGTGCCAATCATAATTCGTAAGGACAATCCTTTCTTGAATCCTGAAAAAGACAGGGGAAAAGAGGGGAATGAGGAAGATGAGAGAGAGGAAGAGGGGAAGATAGTTGTTCCAAACCCACTCAAAGATGATCTAGCCAGGAGGCGGACTGGGAGAGGGCCACACCCTCCCAAAGATCCTCATCAGTCATTGGTCCAGACTTCCATCACTCAGTCAGACCTGGAGACATGGCAGAGGCTCAAGATGAATACAGATAGCAGGTGCCTCAAAACAAACACGCTCTCTAACACTTTTGCTCTTTTTTATGCACATTTGACCACAGGGTCCAAAATTAACACAAATAATGTGACTTTGGTGAGTAAATAAAATGGAGTTACTGGTAAATTTATTAGGAACTGTAACATTATACATGGTTTAAATTTTGCACGAAGACTGTATTACTGGAAGTGACTGAAAGTATAGAAGAAAAAACTACTAAAAATAAATTATTTGTAAAAATAAATGATTTATAAAAAAATGCAAAATACAGTTTAAAGGTTGGAAAAAATATTTCTAATATTCTTTAACTATTAATGTTTGAATTTTATTTAAATGTCAATACTTTAAAGGGCTAGTTCACCCAAAAATGAAAATTCTGTCATTAATTACTCACATGTCATTAATTAATGTCGTTCCAAAACCTGTAATACCTTTGTTCATCTTCGGAACACAAATTAAGATATTTTTGATGAAATCCGAGAGCTTTCTGACCCTCCATAGAGAGCGATGTAACTGAAATATTCCCAGACCCAGAAACATAGCAAGGACATCGGTAAAATAGCCCATGTGACATCAGTGGTTCAATGGTAATTTTACGAAGCTACGAGAATACTTTTTGTGCACAAAGAAAACAAAAATAACGACTTTATTCAACAATTCTTCTCCTCCAAGTGACTGTCTTCTGCCGTTATCGAGAGTATTTTACATCAGCAGCACCACACGCATACGTCGTGGTACTCTCGATAATGCCGGAAGACGGTCACTTGGAGGAGAAGAATTTTTACAGAAACAGTCAAGAAACAGTTACGTTGCTGTCTATGGGGGGTCAGAAAGCTCTCGGATTTTATCAAAAATATCTTAATTTGTGTTCCGAAGATGAACGAAGGTCTTACGGGTTTGGAACGACATGAGGGTGAGTAATTAATCACAGAATTTTCATTTTTGGGTGAAGTAACCTTTTAATATTTACATTTAAATAATTAAATATTTAAACCATATATTTAAATTCATTTGTTATTTGCATGTGTGGCAAAAAGCCATTCCTCCTGCTTAGCTCAGTTTATCCTTTATACTGATCTACAGTGAATCTGACTCCACTCCTGCTGAAGTGTCAATCATAACTCGCAAGGACAACCCCTTCCTGACCCCTGAGAAAGACAGTGAGAGTGAGCAGGAGAAGGAGAAGGAGGAGGGAACAGACAGAGAGAAAGGGGCGAGGGTGGTGATGCCTAATGTAAAGACCGATGACCTGGCCAGAAGGCGGGGCCAAAGTGGGCCTGTCCCACAGAGAGACCCCCGGCAGTCATTGGCTCAAACAACCATCACTCAGTCAGACCTGGAGAAATGGCAAAGGCTCAAGATGAATACAGAGAGCAGGTGCCTGACATGTAACCTTTACCTTTGACCCCTGACATAGCATGACTCATCAACAAGCTTCAAGACGTTTCACACTGCTGAAACTTTGAGCTTATTACACAAATTGTATGTTTTCTGTGTTTTGTTTATACATAAAGCAGATGACACAGCTCCAGTTTCTAGAAGAATATAAGCTTATTATTATTATTTTTTCAGTTTGTGTCTAACACTGTGTCCTAACCAGATATGGTACAATAAAGCAACATACAATAGAATCTTTTCCATGTAAATTCTATACAATTTTCCCACTGAGTGGTCCCACTGTACCACTCTTAGCTTGCTCAGTAGTTTTAAGAGAAAAATGCTATTCAAAATACATTACTGTTCAAAAGTTTGGGGGCAGAAAGATTTTTTAAAAATGATAATCAAATGAGAAATTATTTGTTCTTTTTAACTTTGTCTTCATCAAAAAAATCCCATATTCCACAAAACTATTAAAAAACTATCAGAACTCTTTTTAACATTGATAAGAAATGTTCCTTGTGTACCAAATCATTATTAGAATGATTTCTGAAGCATCACGTGATACTGAAGACTGGAGTAATGGCTGCTGAAAATTCAGCTTTGCCATCACAGGAATACATTTCATTTTAAAATATTAAAATGTTAAACAGCTATTTAAAATTGTGCTAAAATATTTCACAGTACCACTGTTTTACTGTTTTTTGATCAAATAAATGCAGCCTTGGTGAGGATAAGATGCTTACACATGAAAAATCGTACAGATCCCAAACATTTGAATGGTAATGTAAGTTCAAATTATATTGGGATGTTTGGTATAAAAAAGATAACGTGTTAACTGTTACATACTATGAACTATTATAACAGTAAATATTTGTATAATTTATTGTGCCTTTAGGACAATGTCAAATAAAAGCCAGTAGTGCTATCTTACAGTGTATAGAACACTTTCATATAATTTATATTATATAATTTTTTTATAATATAGCAAACTTATAATAGGGTCAAAGACGAGACATCTCCATTTTGGTGTCTGCATCAAATTAAATTTACAAAAGTCATTTTAAAAACTAATAAAACATGTTAAATGCAAGTAAATTGTCTACTTTCATATTTCAAATAACTTTTGTGAAAATAAATGTCAGAATACTGGGGAAAAATGTTTCAAGGTGTGAAATTGTTATTCAGTGTAATGGTCCAGGCTTTGATTTTACCATTACATTTTTAAATAAACATATAAAATACCAAGTCAAAGAATATATTTGTCTTTTAATTTGTCATCAAATGATTCTTGTTTAAAATATGCTTAACAAGATTTATTGGTATATAAATATTGTTACACTTAATGACATTTTAGTGGGTGTCTTCTGTAAATCATGGTAAATAATGTATGATACTCATTATTTTTTGCTCAGAAAAATATAAAATTAAACAGTATATATTCTGATATATGGGGAAAAAAACTAAATTTCTAGCTGTATTACAATTTTATTTTTTGATGCTTGAAACCCCCTTTTCGTCTTTGACCCAACAGCTATATTTCACACGCAGTATAAATAAGTCTGCATTTGAATTATATGGCTGCTTTTATATTTTAAGAAGGGTGTATGTTCTAATATGTTTTGATTCGCTGTGATTGTGGTCCATCACACTGTATTTTTGCTGACAGTGTAGACAGACAAATTACTTGTTGCTGATAAAGTATTACGCCTGGTTAAGACACTGTGTGAGCCTAAAATATATTTAAATCAGTCAAGGCTTACAGCCAAGAAGCTTGGTCTGTCATTGGCTTGAGTGCTACGTAATAGGGCTCTGTCTTGTTACACTCTTGTGGAGATGTTTGTTAAAGTGGGCCTTTGTGAGACTCTAAATTCTGTTAGCAGAGGGAAGCCCCTCTCTAGCAAACAGATGTCACCAAGGCAACTATTGAAACCAAGAGATGCTCACAGAGAATGAGGGAGGGGAGCATGTGAGTGTTAGACGACATACTAAACTGCTGTAGAAGAGCCAAGGCTGTGTGTCATTCCTTCAGTAATTTCCCTTTTGTATGTTTCAAAAGGCCATGCTTGCATCAGCGTCAGTGGGTTTATTTGGATATCACATAAATTCCCGTCCAGACAATCCATTGATTTGACTGTCAGACTGACGTGGACTTTCTGCATTAGTATATTTTAGTTTTCACTATTTCTTTCCCTCGCTCCTCTAATTCTTCTCTCTTTCTCTTCTTTACTCACGTGTCATGTATGTGTGTGCGTGCGAACAGCGATGACCCTATTGTCCCTCTGTGTCGGACGTGTCTTGAGAAAGGCTGCCTCTCTGTTTCCTCCAAGATGAAGGTTGCCAAGAACGACCTGGCCAGTTGCCAAGAACGTTCCTCCGGTGAACGGCGGCGTTTTGTGACATTTGGGGGTGTGACAGAGATGGAGAATACGTCCTGGAAAGAGGAGGAGGAGGATGAGGAAGGGGGAGAGGGACAGGGGGACGAGGCAGAGAAGCTTCGATATCTCCTCTCGATGGCACCTGTTGCTGTGCCCACCATAGGGCTGGGCTTCATACTGACAAAGAGAGCGATGGGCAGGTAGGGAGAGAAAGAATGACAGAAAGAGAAGAATAGATGCATAAATACATGCACATTCAGGCACAACTGACCAAAACGTGCACATATTTTTCTCTGAGGGTCATTGATAATATTAGTCAGGAGGCTGTTTTACACCTAAAACATAATATAGTATATAGTATAGTACTACAGTACAGTAAATATATATAGTATAGTATAGTATAATGCAGTGGTTCCCAACCCTGGTCCTGGAGGCACCCCAACACTGCACGTTTTGCATGTCTCCTTTCTCTGACATGCAAAATGTGCAGTGTTGGGGTGCTTCCAGTACCAGGGTTGGGAACCACTGGTATAATATATATTACTACATATAATATAGTAATATATGTATATATAAGTAATGCTTAATATATATTGCAGCTGAAACGGTCATAATATAGTTTCTGATGACTATTTTCTACCGTCTTTCCAACCAGTTAGAATGAACTGTCCCTTTAAGTCTTCTGTGTAAATGTTGCATGGAAAATGAGGATCAAATATATAATAATATAGAAATATAAAAAATAAAATATATAGAATTATATTTTTATATTATGAAAAGGTAAAATATATCTATGTGTGTATATATTCACATTTATATTTATATTTATAAATATATAAAATAAAAAGGTAAGATAAAGTTTAAAATAAAAGAGAAATAACTTCTAAGATATAAATTTGCTTATTGTTTAGTGTGTTCCAAATAGATTGATATAATTTTTCAGCTTAGTTGTGTTCATGCCATGTTGGAATTACCGAAATGATGAGATTCCAACTTGAAAAAAGCGTTCATGTCCTCTTAGACCTCATAATTACAACTTGTAAACTTTCAACTTTTTGAGAGCTCTGACTTGTACCACCTGACTGCCACAACGTCATACGAAAACACTCAAAATAGCAGCGGTTTCAGCTGTAAAATGTAGTTAAGCTCTTAATATTCAGTTAGTCTACAATAGTCCAAAATAGCAGTTCCTATGATTGATTATTTGTTAATGTCATGATACAAGAAAAAACTAAAAATGAATGAAAGACAAAGTTTGATGTTGCTATCACAGAGTTGAATAAATAGCTAATGTGCTGCTAAACTATAAGTGTATTGATGTATTTGCATAATGACTTCTTCTATTGCAGTTTTGTATATTGATTACACACAATCATTTTGCCGTTTATAGACATTGAGAAGCAATTCTATGTCCGAGGACATGAACAGCTCCGAATAACATCAAAGTTTGTCATCTAGTAATTACAGTAGTTGTGAAATGGCACAGCAATGAACACACCATTAGTTTCTATTTTATTTCATTGTTTACTTCACAATATGACCCCTTTAGACACCATTGTGTTCTTAGAATCAAGCAGTAATATTTGGTCCTGTGATGTGAAGTATACCGACACACTATTGCTCGTTGAGGACCGCCTGCTTTCAGAAACCAAGTTTTGTTTATCAAATGATCTGAACATACATGCAGAGACTCACCCTCATGTGTGTTGGAGTTTGTGTGTAGTGATCTTAGCGGTGATGCTGCATTTACAGGGCATGTTGATGAACTCATGCCTTGAGAGAATGTTAGCATGATGCAAGCGACTGTAGCAGCACTGAATGAATGATGCTTGAAACTGTTATTATTTTGGCTAGGAGGGCTTATAATTGAGGCTGTTAGCATGATGCTAACAACTATAGCACCCCTGAATGATGCTAAAACTTCGCTTTTTTTGGCCTGTTTAGGATTAGCTGTGAATGGCTTAGAGTAAGGCGGTTATCATGATGCTAACAACGTAGCACTCATGAATGATACTTGAATCTGCTCTTGTTTGGGCTACTTAGGAGGAAAATTAGCTGTGAATGGCTTGCAGTGAGGCTGTTAGCATGATGCTAACAACTGTAGCACCCACAAATTGTGTGAAAAATGAACTTTTTGGCCTGTTTAGGAGAGAAATTAGCTGTGAATGCCACAGTGGTGGTGTGGACTGAAATTTCAGAGTCTGTGAAGAAACAGGAAAAAAGATGAAATATGTGTCTGTGCTTGTGTAAGAGAGTAATAAAGTGTGTTTCTGTAGTTTTGAGTAACTGCAATGCAGTTGCTTTGGTTCCCACTGGACTGCATCTTGCATTGCTTGTATCTGCATTCTCTGTCCTCCCCCCTCATTTTTTTCTTTTCTGTCTCTGACTCATTGTTTCTCTCTTTCCTTCCACGCCTCACACATTATGAACTAACTTACTCAGTGGAGATGCAAACCCTGAGCCTCCTCCCATCATGCCCCCTGAACCTCCGAACCCTGTTATGTTTGACCTTAAAAGGCCTTTGACCTCCACCGAGCGCAAAGTGCTGGAGGAGGAACTGGCTGAGAAAGCAAAGGATGAGAGGGAGGATGATGAAGAGGATGAAGAAGAAGAGAGGCAACCAGATATAGAAAAGGATGACATGCTAGCTCGTAGAACAGGAGCATTTCAGAAGCCAGCAAGCGGGACTTCATATAACAGATTCCTCCCGCAGTCGGGTTCCAAGAGAGAGGGTGCTACAGCAGCTTCCTTAGCCCAGAAAGGAACGAGTGGAGAAAGAGATCTCCAATACCTTGAAAGAAGCATAAAGACAAAGAGAACCAAGATTGGACAGAGGTGGGACAAGCAAGACTGGCAGTCTCAAACTTCTCTTTGTTGATAATGCATGAGTCTAACATGCTTTGTGCCGTGGTGGAAAAAACTCTTTCCTTTTGAGCACAATATTTATATTTTAGTAGTGTTGTCTAAGGAAAGCATGACTTTTAGCTTTTCTCATACTTGGTTAGGGATTTACTGCACCATTTGTGCAAAATATATAATGATACCTTGCTGATGAGCGTTGTTACTAAGTGGTTGAATGTTTAATATTTGTTTAAAAATTCTGACAATATGATAAGCCTGATTATTTCCAGTAAATGGCTGATATTAAAAAAACTGTACTGTTCTGTCTAAATAAATAAAAAACTAAAATCAGTTATTTTAAATTCTGTAAATGAATTTAGACATAATAACATTATGATGTATAATATGGAAAATTGATATTTTGAGATTTGCTCAAGATTAAACTTGATGTTAAATTGTTCATGTTTTTAATGAATAACTGTAAATGTTACATGATAGCAAAGGTAATCAAAATATAAATATAGAAGTAATTATTTAAATATCTAAATTATTTATGGGTTGTAGATATAAATAATTAGCAAATTAAATATCCAATATTGACCAATACTGATCAATAATAAAACTCCAATGTTGCCTGATTACTGATATAGCACTGACTGATACTGTAACGTGCATCACTAGTTTTTTGCCTGGCAGACAATAAATTGGGGGGGAAAACATAGATTTACACTGAAAGAGACACAGAATCTATCTAGATATCTATAAATCAAAATGCTTTGGCCAGGATACAACCTTCCAGAATTCCTTAGAAGCCAATTTGCAATAGCAACCACCCAGAACACCTCAGCAATGAGCTAAAAATCACACAGAACATCTCACAGAAGTTTGTTTTTTGTTCTTAGGGAAATGTAGGTGTGCATTTGTTTTGAACCTGCTTGCATTAAGTTTTGCCTTGGAGAATATTGCGTTATATCAAACTGAGTTTCATTTTCCAAGTTAGTTATCAGCATATGCTGTTTTGACAGAAATGAACCAGTCAGCCAAGTAACAAAGACACCTGTTCCAGTTGCTGTAGTCACAGAAAAGAGCCCTGACATTGTACGTTCTTCTGCAACTAATGCCAATCGCTCTGGCAGTTACGATGAATGTGGGGATGATCAACTGCCAGATTTTGAGAAGGATGACATGATTGCACGAAGGACCGGATCTTACCAAAAGCCAAGTGCAGGACAGGCTTTTAATGCTTTTCTGCCCAAACCTGTTGCTGTCAAACATAAAATCACTCCTATCAGTGGATCGCAGTCATACCTCAAGCCAAGAGAGCAAGAGACAGCCCCGTCTCTGGACAGGTTAGGACCCTTTAGGACTGAAGTGTTTGCCTGTGAATGCTCTGAATGCTTCTTTTGTGGTGTCCGTGCAAAAGGAGATTGTTTAAATTGCTATTAAATAATTTTTTTTAGATGTGGATTTGAGCTTGTTTAGTTCTTGTGTAGTTGATTTTCCGAGTACAGAGAAGAGATGAATGTCTCGTGCATCAGTGATTTTTGGTGGCTATTGTCTGTTTACTAATATATGTGACTGGCTTGGAGTTTCTTCACAAAACTGAATTTTCTCTTTGTTTCTAATCTTTGTATATATATATATATATATATATATATATATACACTTCACTCTGTTCTTTGCACTTGTCTTCTCTGTACTCTCTGGCGATTTGTGTTTTGTAGCCAGAGAACAGAGCCTCAGCCTCCCTTTCACAGCACTGCTTTGCTTTAGTAACCATGGCAAATTTCTCAGCTTCACCCTTAGCTCTGTGGCCCCGCCCCCAAGAAATGCTGAGGACATGCCTAGGAAGTGCCCTCAGATGATGGACAGGCAGGAGGCGGACTCTGTGGGTGTGGTGGGACATGAAAGTCTTATTAAAGATGAGACTGTTACCAAAAGCCCCTCCCCCAGACCCCACCAACCCCCACGTCAGCCCCTTTGGCAGGAAGATGATGATCTCCCCCCAATGTGAGAAAGCACTTTCAGGACCAATTTATTACTTTTGAAAACAGCTCTGATTGAAATGTAGTTTTGTATTTCTGCATGGAAAGATTGTGTCCCATGCCTGTGTCTCTGCGTTTTATCACTGTTTCACTTTACTTTGTTCATTGGTGCAATGGTTATCCTTAAAGGTGCTGTAAGGGATTTTATTAGTGAAAAGCAAGCTTTTTTATTTTTAAGAGTTTAGATTTGCTTATACGTGTCATTTGAGGGTGGAATTTTGGAAAGAGCAGGTGCAATGCAGGTTTAATGCAGTGACTGACCTGGGGGGAGTTAGTGAAATGGCTAACATCACTTACAGCACCTTTAAAGTCAATATGAAATGCTGTTGAGAACTCATTTTACTGACATGTTTTGTAAAATCAGATTAGGAAAATGCATTAAGACACACACACACACAAACATATATACACTGCTCAAAAAATCTAAAGGAACACTTTGAAAACAAATCAGATCTCAATGGGGAAAAATATCATGCTGGATATCTATATTAATATGGACTGGGTAATGTGTTAGGAACTAAAGGATGCCACATCGTTTGATGGAAATGAAAATGATCAACCTTACAGAGGGCTGAATTCAAAGACCCCTAAAATCAAAGTGAAAAAATGATGCAGCAGGCTAGTCTATTCTGCTGAAATTTCATTGTAGCAACTCAAAATGGTACTCAGTAGTTTGTATGGCCCCGTGTGCTTGTATGCTGCCTGACAACATCGGGGCGTGCTCCTAATGAGACGACGGATGGTGTCCCGGGGTATTTCCTCCCAGATCTGGACCAGGGCATCACTGAGCTCCTGGACAGTCTGAGGTGCAACCTGGCGGCATCGGATGGACCGAAACATAATGTCCCAGAGGTGTTCTATTAGATTTAGGTCAGGCGAGCGTGGGGGCCATTCAATGGTATCAGGGAAATGAAAATGATCAACCTACAGAGGGCTGATTTCAAAGACACCCCGAAAATCAAAGTGAAAAAATGATGCAGCAGGCTTGTCCATTTTGTTGAAACTTTATTGTAGCAACTCAAAATGGTACTCAGTAGTTTGTATGGCCCCCACGTGCTTGTATGCATGCCTGACAAAGTCGGGGCATGCTCCTAATGAGACAACGGATGGTGGATCTCCAGGAACTGCCTGCATACTCTCACCACATGAGGCCGGGCATTGTCGTGCACCAGGAGGAACCCAGGACCCACTGCACCAGCGTAGGGTCTGACAATAGGTCCAAGGATTTCATCCCAATACCTAATGGCAGTCAGGGTGCCATTGTCTAGCCTGTAGAAGTCTGTGCGCCCCTCCATGGATATGCCTCCCCAGACCATCACTGACCCACCACCAAACCGGTCATGCTGAACGATGTTACTGGCAGCATAACGTTCTTCATGGCTTCTCCAGACCCTTTCACGTCTGTTACATGTGATCAGGGTGAACCTGCTCTCATCTGTTAAAAGCACAGGGCACCAGTGGCGGACCTGCCAATTCTGGAGTTCAATGACAAATGCTAATCGAGCTCCACGGTGCCGGGCAGTGAGCACAGGGCCCACTCAGTGGCGGACCTGCCAATTCTGGTGTTCAATGGCAAATGCCAATCAAGCTCCACGGTGCCAGGCAGTAAGCACAGGGCCCACTAGAGGACGTCGGACCCTCAGGCCACCCTCATGAAGTCTGTTTCTGATTGTTTGGTCAGAGACATTCACACTATTGGCCTGCTTGAGGTCATTTTGTAGGGCTCTGGCAGTGCTCATCCTGTTCCTCCTTGCACATAGGAGCAGATATCGGTCCTGCTGATGAGTTAAGGACCTTCTACTGCCCTGTCCAGCTCTCCTAGAATAACTGCCTGTCTCCTGGAATCTCTTCCATGCTCTTGAGACTGTGCTGGGAGACACAGCATACCTTCTGGCAATGGCACGTATTGATGTGCTATCCTGGAGGAGTTGGACTGCCTGTGCAACCTCTGTAGGGTCCAAGAAATGCCTCATGCTACCAGTAGTGACACTGACCCTAGCCAAATGCAAATCTTCAGATACAGTTGGGGTTTTAGTGACTGTAGAAATAGCTTCACATATTTAATAGAATCGTGTGTGTGTGTATATATATATACTGAAGAGTTCATTTGCAAAAACAGATAACTCCGTTTTTAACAATTTTCAGAAATCAAGTTTTTTCATTGTGCTTTCCAATTAATCTCAATCAAACTGCAGTTGTTTTTTTTTTCTGGAGGAGTTGGACTGCCTGTGCAACCTCTGTAGGGTCCAAGAAATGCCTCATGCTACCAGTAGTGACACTGACCCTAGCCAAATGCAAAACTAGTGAAAAACAGTCAGAAAAGAATGTCAGTAGCCTCCACCTGTAAAACCATTCCTGTTTTGGGGGTTGTCTCATTGTTGCACATCTAGTGCACCTGTTGTTAATTTCATTTACACCAAAGCAGCTGAAACTGATTAACAACCCCCCCTGCAACTTAACTGACCTGGGCTGCGTTTCCCAAAAGCATCGTAAGCCAAAATTGTTCGTAGATCCATTGGCGGCAATGGGTCTACGATGTACTTAGGCTTACGATGCTCAGAAATCAAGTTTTTTCATTGTGCTTTCCAATTAATCTCAATCAAACTGCAGTTGTTTTTTTTTTATTAGGTTAAAAAATAACTAAAAAATACAGCTAACTAACACAATAAAACATAACATAATAAAAAACAAGTTATCTGTTTTTGCAAATAAACTCTTCATATACATACAGTATATATAAAATGTGTGTGTAATATATATTTTAAAGGACTGTAATTCGTGTTCTATTATGTTCAACCATTTTGTTCTTTAAAGCTCAACTTTATTTACATTGTTTTTTATCCATTAATGTTCTAGATTCAGAGCTACTAGTGTTTCTGACACAGAGTAAGTTTCTTTTCCTTTCTCTCTGTATTTCTTACTGTTGCTGAAGAACTGAGCAGTTGCATGTAGCAAGCATTCAGCAGTGTCTCTGTTCACATGCAGATACAACCATTTTCTAAACTGACATACTCTCTCTTGAACTTTGTGCATGCATATTCAAAAGTCAAGCCTGCCCCTACACATGCATGTAATAACATATGTTTGAATCTTTGTCATGGTTTGCTGTGGTGGATACTTCAGCTCCCTGTATTAAAGGAATATTCAGCGAAAAAAGAAAATTAATTCATTTACTCCTCATGTCGTTCTAAATCTATGACTATGTGAGGGAGATAAACATGCATTTATAATAAATTGGAATTTACAAGCTTCAAAAAGATGTAAATATGACTCGTGTGCACATATTTTACATTTAATGAAGTCATCTGATTTGTATTAAATAACAAAAATTTTATATGGTATCATGATAATATGGGTTTTGAACAACATGACGGTTTCTTGAGCAATAAGAAATTATATTGTCAAAAATGTACATTTTACTTGTACTTTTTCTTGTAGTCTGTTTGTATTGTTCATGGTCCCAATAACCATGTGTTGCTCTTGCACTAACATTTCTTCCATTTAACCATGTCATTCCTCTTTAACATCATACCGTCATATATATATATATATATATATGTATGTATAACTTTTTTTATCAAGAATTTCCTATTTTCGTGCCTTCAGGTCTCAGAGGAAGAGATGTGTTGTTATTTTCGATCTGGCTTTGATTGCACCTTTTCTTCTTAAGCTAAAAGCGTTACAGCACTTGTAAACATGTCTGTTTTTGTTTGTTATTCAAAGGAGTATGAGTTTGATTGACATGCGTGATGAAGAGGATGAGATGGCCTACCTTCGGCCACACAGCCAATCACGACATGAGGAGGACCAGTGGCAGGACGTGAGTCACACAAACCCACACAAGCACGTGTTTAATGAGCTTACACGCATAAGTGTGTACATTCTCTGGCTTCTGTGTGTAGGACTTGGCTCGCTGGAAGAATCGAAGGCGAAGTGCATCTCAAGATTTGATCAAAAAGGAAGAAGAAAGGAAGATGATGGAGAAGCTAATGACAGCGGATGGAGAATCTGGCCATCGCAGGAAGAGCATCAAGACATACAAAGAAATCGTAGAGGAGAAGTGAGACACAAACTGAAATCTCTATGCCCTCCTGATGTAGCAGATTGTGGGGTTTAGTAAATAGAAGTATTGGCATTGAAATACAGAGTGCAAAATTGACTCTCCCAGGAAACCGTACTCGTCCTCCGTAAAATGCGCTGCACACAGAAAGGAAAACTTGAAATCGCATCATATGACCCCTTTAATGAGCAACAGAGACTTCTTTTAAAAGCATTAAAAATCTTAAGTAGTGTAAGTAGTAATAATCTTGTTTTGTTATTTCTTAGAAAAAAATTATATTTGAAAAAATATATATATTATAAATATTTTATAAATATTATATATTTAGATTTTATAAATATATAATATTTTTGTCCATCTAATAAAACTTGTTTAGTGTGACCCACCAACTACAGACCCTTATGACTGTATGTCAAGGTCAGTAATTATGAGATAATTTTTGAAAATTCACTGTTAGTCCCCCAAAAACTTTTTTATATTTGAACATTTCTCATGAATATATATTAATGAATGAATTATCATTCTAATATGTAATTGACATTCTATTGATCTCATTCTTTCTCTTTCAGAGAGCGTAGGGAACAGGAGCTACATGAACAATACTGTAAGGCCTCCACCCCAGAAGAGAAAGCAGCTGTGCTTCAACGCTATGCTCTCCGTTTCACCATCAGCGATGCCATATTGGAGAAACTCCAACTCCCCAAACTGCCTTCTGCTGCTCCACCAATGCACATGTCACCTCTTCATCAACCCGAGAAGAAGCTGACATGCACCACCTTAGTAGAAGCAGAGGTCCCAGAGCCTGAACAAACTACCCAAACACACCACAGTGTCTATATAGACCAGAAGACTACACAAAAACAGGCACCGGCACAGGCCAAAACCCCTGAACCATCACCTTCTGAGACCACCAAAGCTCCAGAAGTCCTGTCAGCACCCACACGAGTTCCTCCGGCTCCGTCGAAGCCTGTACCCCTGATCACCCCAAAACCCTACAGCCAGCCCAAATTCAGCCAAGGCTTCCGCAAATCAGTCAAGGCAAGAATATCTTTCCCAGGACTGTAATATCTATAACAAATTAATTTAACAATGGCAAAAAATCTGCATATAAAAACTGGGTAGGACGGCTAGAGATTTTCAAACTTTTTGGACCTCCAAATGTGATGATCTTACAAAAATATAAAGGCAGTTATAGACCTGTTAATATTGTATGAGAAAACACATGCTATTTTAAGGCAAAATGCTTTTTACAAAATTAAATAGTTGGCTTTTAAAATGTAAATATTTAATTACTATACCTGAAGCCAAAGCAGAATTATTAAAATAAAACTAAGCAAAATAATTAAATCAATTAATTAAAAAGTTAAAATAATTTACTTAGAGTTAAGTGAATGGACATCCATTTCATAAAATCTTTTTGATTTGAAATTTGATTTTTTAATTTTCCACGGTGTCCAGAACCATGTTTAAAAACCCCTGAGACAATGCCAGAATAGTTCACTAAAAAATATAAATTCTGTCATTACTCACCGTCATATTGTTCAAAATCTGTATGACTTTCTTTTTTTTTTGCGTAACACACAACAGAAGTTATCTTTCATAATGTCTTTTTCCGTATATTGAAAATGGATGAGACTAATGACAGTTGTGGTTGCCATTGGCTTCCTTTGTATGAAAAAGACCAACCTGGACATCTTGCTAGATAGCTCCTTATGTGTTTCACGCAAGAACGACATAAAGGCAAGTAAATTATCTTTGGGTAATAATAATCAGCTTAAATAAATGTGTGTTGTTTGTTTTTATTACAGAGTGATGGGCTGATACGTGTGAACTATGACAGCACTCAGCAGGAGAGCAGAGAGAGGGCTGATAGAGATTCTATGTCGTGTCCTCAAATCAACTTCTCTTCCTCACCTTCAAAGCCAGATACTCAAAGTCAACAAAATGAGGAGCTCATTGTTTTAGAAGCCTCAGAACACCAGCAAAACTTACAGACTTCCATTTCTGACAAGAAGAATGAAGTCATAAAGTGTTCTCTTAGTCTTCAGGAAGAGAATAGCAAAGAAGACACCTCAACTACACTGTCGGTGTCAGAACCAGAAGGTTGAGAATTATAATATTAGCCACAGTTTTCAATATTTAGAATATTTGTAGAATATATACAGTCGAAGTCAAAAGTTTACATACACCTTGCAGAATCTGCAAAATGTTAATTATTTTACCAAAATAAGAGGGATCATACAAAATGCATGTTATTGTTTATTTAGTACTGACCTGAATAAGATATTTGACATAAAAGATGTTTACATATAGTCCACAAGAGAAAATAATTTTAGAATTTATAAATATGACCCCACTCAAAGGTTTACATACACTTGAATCTTAATACTGTGTTGTTACCTGAATTATCCACGGCTGTGTTTTTTTTGTTTAGGGATAGTTGTTCATGAGTCCCTTGTTTGTCCTGAACAGGTAAACTGCCTTCTGTTCTTAAGAAAAGTCCTTCAGGTCCCACAATTTTTTTTGGTTTCCCAGCATTTTTGTGTATTTTTCAACAATGACTGTAGGATTTTGATCCATCTTTTCACACTGAGGACAACTGAGGGACTCATATGCAACTACAAAAGGTTCAAACGCTCCAGAAGGAAAAATGATGCATTAAGAGCAGGGGGGTGAAAACTTTTGAACAGAATGAAGATGTGTAAATTTTTATTATTTTGCCTATTATGCCTATTTTTCATTAAGTACTGTCCTTCAGAAGATACTTACATGTTTCCCTGAAGACAAAATAAGTTAAATTTACCCTGATCTTCACATTTAAAAAACTGTGGATCATTCAGGGAACAAAACAGTAGTAAGAATCAAGTGTATGTAAACTTTTGAATGGGGTCATTTTTATAAATTCAACAATTATTTTCTCTTGTGGACTATATGTAAACACTAAACATCTTATATGTGAAATATCTTGTTCAGGTCAGTACTAAATAAACAATAAAATCCCTCTTATTTTGGTAAAATAATTAACATTTTGCAGATTCTGTATATACTCTGTGTGTGTGTGTGTGTGTGTGTGTGTGTGTGTGTATATATATATATATATATATATATATAATTTTTAAGGGGTCTTATCATGAGAAATTAACATATAGTCATACAATGAAGGTTTACTGTAACTTTCAAAAATCAAAACTTCTTCCCCAGTACAAAAATTTTTTTTTTTGATAATTAAAGGGATAATTCACACCAAAATGAAAAACCTGTGATCACTTGCTCACCCTCTGTAAATTGTATGCATTTCTTTCTTCTGTGGAACATAAAACAATATAATTAGAGAAATGTCACAGTGGGTTTTTTTTTTGGTCCATTCCATACAATGGCTGTGTCCGAAAGCTGAAAAATGCTGCCTTTCGGAGGAAGCTTCATGGCCTGTCTCTTGAGATGCCTTCATCCGATCGATTTTTGAAGGCAGCATAGATGTTTCCCTCGCTGCCTTTGATATCCCACAATCCTGTGCGTCCCATTTCATGATAGTTGAGCTTAAAAAAATAAAGATGGCATCTGAAAGTAGCGTTTGATGATTAGTTTGGGTGTAAATGTATGTTTCTGACCAACTTTTTGATGTTACTTGTTGTGAGAAATCAGTATTATACTAATTAAATATTCGCTTAGTTATCACCAAAGATTGTTCTATTTTGTTGTAAATCATTAAACCGTTATGTTGCCTCAGACGCCTGTCCAAAATCAGTTTTGTGAGGTGCCTTTGAGCACAAACACTTCCTGCTAAGTCATTGCCTGATATGGCAGCAAGGCAACAAGTCAGGAGTCTAAGCTTTCGGACACAGCCAATGGAAGTCAATGGACTATAATGTTGTTTGGTTCCCAACATTTTTCAAAATCTTCCACAGAACAAAGACATGCATACAGGTTTGGAATGACAACAGGGTGAGTAAATAATGACATCATTTTCCTTTTTAGGTGGACTATCATTTTAAGTAGTGAAAGTAGTTCAATTTTCTGCATCTAGTCACCTTCATATATTGACCCTTAGCTGCCCACATTTCACATCAGCGACATCCATTACAGCAGGTGTTAAAAAACTTAACCCCTAAGTGCAAATACATACAAATTCTAATTGAGCAAAAATAAAATTTTTAAACAAAGATAAAATGATAAGATGTGACTTATTTAAAGCAGAGGTAGACTGAATCATTTTTATATTAACTTATAGTTTCCTATTTCATCAGGAAAGCAGCCAGTGCCTGACACGATGATGAAGCGCAGCTGTGTTGTCACAACAACCATAGTGACAGAACTCACTCAGACACACCCCGTCCCACCAACTGATGCATCCAGCACCGAGCAGGTGGGCCTTGATTTCTCTCTTTTCAATTTTTAATAAAACATTTATTCATTGATTTTCAAATACATCCGCTGATTCTTAAAGGTAGACCCCTGGGCTGGCTGAAAGTAAGCGATTAGTTAAGAGTTGTCTTTATTATTTTGTATGACATTATCTTGTTTGCGTCTTTGAGCTTGATACTTTATTCTTATTGGTCAGTGTCTTTGCATTCATGACTACTAAACTGTTTAACTGACCCAAATGTGTAATTTCCTATATAGTTGTATTAGTTTTATGTCTACAGTCTTATAAATAAAGAATAAATCATGAATAAAAAGTAAACCAGTTTGCCATGTAATAAGCAGGATGATCGACTGATCATTTTCTGACTGTATGAATAGATGACTGTATATTATCCCTTATTTATTTGTACAGCTAATTTTTGGCAGTGTTTTATACCTTAATAGCATACCTTTAAAATGGAGCTGAATGTGCTACTGTACCTGTTGGAAAAAAAAAACAGTATATGCTGGATAGGTATGTTTTGAAGCATGGCTGCTGGTTTGAGCTGGTTCTTAGCTGGTCATGTGCTGGTCCTAAGCAACTAGCTCCTGCTCAGGACCAGCTTAAACCAGCTCAAACCAGCTGCCATGCTTCAAAACATACCTAACCAGCATATGCTGGATTTTTCAACAGGGGTGTATTCTATTGGAAACCTGCTTTTATTTCAATTTTGACTGTGAAAACAGGAATGATTTTCATTCTTTTCATTCCCCTCAGCTCGATTCAGTCCATAGCTCATGTGATGTGAGTTCAACTGCCGAGTCAAGCAAGACTGAGCAGACTTCATACTCGCTCTCAATGACAGGTAATACAACCCCACTTTAATCTCTTTTATAATGTGATGACCAAATTAATCCCTATTCCAACTTTCCTACTTTTAGTTATTCGTTTAACTCCTCTAAATCCTCTTTTGGGTTACCTTTCTTTCTGGTTTATGTTTTTCTTGCTTTTTGTCTCTTTCATTGACTACCCCTCTGTCATTTGGTGTGCGTGTGGGTCTGTTAGAGTCCTCACATGCCTCTAATAGCTCTAGGTTACGCTGGGAGTTCTTCGCTCCAACAGGTAAAACCAATAGATGAACTAATCACACAGGGCTTCCTTCCCCACGAACAGCAGATGATCCATCTGCCCATCGCTGATCATCTCTCGTTTGTCAGCCTCCTTTGACACCTCTCCTGTGGAGGTGCATTGTATAGTAAATGCTTGTCTGCTGAGGGCATTATGAGACACTACAGATTTTTAAACTGGTTTTTGAGTGTAGGGGAGAGTGGAGTAAGCTGTGCCACTTTACCTTAAGTTGTCATAAAGTTAAGGACAAAGGAGACATATGTCAAACATATTATACTGTACATTATTGTTCAAAAGTGTTTTAATTTTTTGAATCAGCAAGGACACATTAAATTGATCAAAAGTGACAGTAAAAACGTTTACGTTTTTCCTGTTTCATTTTTTCTATTTCAGATAAATTCTGTTTGTTTTAAACTTCCTATTTTTCAAAGAATCCTGGGAACACGAACATGTATCACCATTTAACAAAAATATTAAGTAGCACAGCTGTTTTAAACATTAATAATAAGAATGTTTCTTGAGCACCAAATCAGCATATTAGAATGATTTCTGAAGAATCGTGTGAGACTGGAGTAATGGCTGCTGAAAATGGCTGCTTGTTATTTGAAATTGTAATAATATTTCACAATATTACTGATTTTGCTGTATTTTTGTTCAAATAAATGCTGCTTTGGTGAGACTTTCAGTAGCAGCAATAACAAAAACAACAAAAAACTTTATTATTATATTATATTATATTATATTATATTATATTATATTATATTATATTATATTATATTATATTATATTATATTATATTATATTATATTATATTATATTATATTATATTATATTATATTATATTATATTATATTATATTATATTATATTATATTATATTATATTATATTATATTATATTATATTATATTATATTATATTATATTATATTATATTATATTATATTTAATGGCCAATCTCAAATAATATACATGGTTATACAATTGCAATTTACCAATATATAGTATATGATATATAGTTATAGAACCAGATAAATTTGCTTTGACATAAAATTAATTTTAATTGCCATGTAGAAAAGGTATTTTGACTTTGATTTACTAGTCTATAGTATATATTTACTAGTATATAGTCACATGACAAAAATCTTGCACAATTTCTTAAGGAGGTTATTCAGTTTACCCACTCTCACATCTTACCCCACTCTTTCCTCATCTTTCCTTCTAAACATAGAGTTGTGTGTCATTTTGTCCTCATCAGGCATCTGTAGCATGGACATATGTCAGCACTCCATGACTATAGATTAGATTTATTTAGTCGGGTCATTGTACAGTCATGCACAGTAATTGAACATGTAGAAATTAAGATGCTCTGCGTTATTGCTTTTTTCTGTTGTCTTCATGTCTAGATTTACAACTCTCAGAGAATAGATCCTTCTTGTCTTTGCCTCTGCTTATACCAGGTATTCATATCCATCTCAGGTGATAGAATCACAAGTGGGCAGCTACATAAAGGTGTAAACAGGGTCCAAAATCATTGATTGAATCCCTCAAACCATATTTGGAAGTGATGAAGACTATAAATATAGTAACACAATGAAACCTGTCATAATCTGATCATAAGTGGATACAGGAGATGCAAGTGAGTAATAATAATAATATATGTAAACAAGGATCACAAGATGGATGTTAGTACCGGGTATAAATAGAGACATCATGTCTCAACACTTCTTTTTTTCTGTGTCATTTTAATGTTTTATGCTCTGTGTATCTGTGTACCAGTTTGAGCTCCTATGGTGCTATAACTTTCATTAGCACATGAAGAGATTAATGAGTATATGATGAGTTTCGAAAGTCACTGTTCCCCTCTTCTTTCCTCCACAGAGGGGATTGACTACTCCATTGATTGTGTAAGTACTTAAGTATGCCAAAATCACACTCACTCTTCCTGAATCTCTCTTTATTTCTTTTCACTCTTTTTTCCTTTGTTAGTCCTTCATTGTAACTAGGGATGTGCATTTTGGTCATTTTGGCTGTTAGAGTACTGGCTTGATGGGAACAGATTGTATTTGGCATGTTTGCTGTTGCATTGCTTTTCACTGAAGTTTCAGTGTATCACACCAATAGCTTTACGCTTTCAAGACAGCGTGTCAAGTTACAACACAAATAGTTAAAAAGTGTTGATGCATCTAAAAAAAAAAACAGCATTCTGTTGCATTTAGTTGTATCTACTGTTATACTATTTATTAATATTTTATATGATATTTTATATTTTAAGCTTTAGTAATTTTATATAGTTTTGTCTTTTTTATTTATATATATATATAGCTTTGATTTTATTTTTATTTCAGTTTTTATCTCTTCAACTTAAATATTAGAAATGTTGTCTTTGCAACTAACTGAAATAAAAAGTTTTAAGTTTATTTTTTTTTATATTTTATTAATATATATTTTTAACTGTTTAAACTGAAAATTTGGTTTCAGTCACGTTTGTGAACTTTGGATTTCATGTGTGTTTTTGCTGTTTGAACTGCAAAATCTGAAGAGATATGAGATGTTTCAGCAAAAAGAAAATATTTTTGGATTTTGTTGTTTTTACCGGTCTGAACAAAGGTTTAAAGTAACCAGTTGAAACAAGTTGCCCACAAAAGCCCACAACTGCAAAGTAGCACTCAAATTGTTACTGTAACAAATCACTTAATAAAACATGAGGCCCAATTTTGGCACGTCGAACAAAAACATCAAGTTACACAACTGATTTTTAATAATTGATCATTACTTTTGAGTACTCATGCTCATACCTAGTTAGAACAGCATAGATGCACCCTGTCTTCTTACCTACTTTCCTTTTTTCCTTTCTGCTTCTGTGTTTGTGTGTATGTTTGTGTGTGTGTGTGTGTGTGTGTGTGTGTGTGTGTGTGAATCAGATTGAAACCCCAATGTTGAACCTTGCAAAAAGGGTTGATCACTGGACATGGGATCCTAATGAAGAGCGTAGACGACAGGAGAGGTGGCAGCAGGAGCAGGAACGCCTGCTGCAGGTACAGTAGCCAGCTTGGGGTTTGTCTGAGAGAAGTGAGCACCTGCTGTTCTGTAGAGACAACTTTCTCTGTTGTTGTGTTCTGGTTAGCATTTTACCATCTCTTCCTGTCTTCCCTTCACATTCTCTCAAATCTATCACACTTTTTGTTGACTTTGGTATACCTGTGAAATACAAAAGGAGGAATTTTGAAGAATGTGTTGATCAGTCTTGTCCATGCAGTAACAATAAAAGAGAACTGAAGCTTTCAATTTTCATAAAGGTCACAAAAGCACTTGTGTATTTATGTTGGTTTCATACCAGGGGCGTAGCCATCATTTCAGAAGTGAGGGGGACAGAAATGTCTAATGTACTAATACCTTTTTTTTTTAAATTACAAGTAATTGACAAGTTTTATTTTTCTCTTATTTCTTATTTTTAATTGGCTAAGAAATCAAATACACTGCTGGACAATAACAAATAATTTGTATTCTATAAAATTTTCCTATATTTTCCTAATAACAATTTTGTGATTTATTTATGTAACATTTTTTCCATTTTTATCACAGAAGGCGGCAGAATAGTTTCTATACTAATAATAAACGCTACTTCAATTAGCATTGCATTTTTCATAACTTTATTTATTACTTGGAGAGGACTTGAAAAACACACATAAACCATATTGTCACACTTCGCTGGAGCAAGGGAACGGGAGGAACGAGGAGACTTCACAAAAATGAGAGTCTTTAATGATTCCAATGGGAGACACAGAGCACAAGGATGACATTCACAACAAGTAGATAACGAGTAGACCTGACAAACACAAACTGAACAGAAACACAAAACAGGAACTGAAACACATGACCCATATATTGTCGCAGCCGTGTGTTTAATGTCTTTACGTTTCATCAGTCAAACGTTTCTGCTTTTTATTCAGCTTATACAGCGATATCTGAATGCTTTTGGGGTCAAGATTTTTTTGTTAAGAAAATATTACTTGTTCAGCATGGATGGATTAAATTGTTCAAAAGTGAAAGCAAAGACTTTTACGTTATTCGAAAAAAATCTATTTCAAATAAATGCTGTTCTGTAGTTTATATTCATCAAATCATCCTGAAAATGTTGTATCAAATTGAAGTTTTCAACATTTATTTTAGATATTAGAATGATTTCTGAAGGATCTTGCGACATTGAAAACTGGAGTAATAGCTGCTGTTTCAAATTCATCCTTGATATTAAATAAATAAATTACATTTTCAATATATTTAAAAAAAGATTTTTAATTGTAGTAATATTGTCAGACTCTGTTCCATGTTTTGTGTGTGTCCTGCTCCCCATGTGCCTTCCCATGCCCTTATTTGGTTAGTTTCCTGTTCCTGTCCTGATTAGTTTAGTTCATTTGTCCCAGGTGTTTCCCTTGATGTTTCATTGCTCCCAGGTGTGTCTCGTCATCCCCTCCTCCTGTGTGTGTATATAAATAGTGTTCCCAGTCCCAAGTTCTGGGTCCGCTGTGAACGTCTTCGTGTGAACGTCTTCCTGTGTTCGTCTCCCTTGGTTCATGCAAATAAAGTCCTGTCAACATATTCTCCAGCGTCTCCTCGTCCCTCGTGTGTGTGCAACGTGACAAATATTTAACAATATTTCTATTTTCAATTTTTTTCAAAAATCCTACCACAAACTTTTTTCTACTTTTTTCTTTTTTTAAAGTATGCATTTAAAAATGTCAAGTAGAAGTACAATAATAATAATAATAATAATAATAATAATAATAATAATACAAATATACAACAAATAATACAAAAAGTACAAATTATTGTCAAAAATGTTTCAATTTCATAAATATCAAAGTTTTCTTAGAGTTCCTCCATTTGACCTGAATAAAGTGTATCATAAAAATAATATGATTCCCATTCGTTGTTATTGCATGAAAAAGGGCAAACAGTACATTTCTCAGAATTTCTCCTTTTGTGTTCCACAGATGAAAGTTAAGTTATGCAGCTTGAAACAACATACGGTTGAATAAATTATGACTGAAGTGAACTATACCTTTAATCCCTCTTTTTCTTTTTCTGCAGGAGAAATATCAGCGAGAGCAAGAGAAGCTGAAGGAGGAGTGGGAGAGAGCACAGAGAGAAGTGGAAGAGGATGAGAGGAGACACCATGAAGAGGTACGTATTTTAACTGTTTTACATGAGATCTAATTGGTTCTTAATGACCACTAATTAGCTCTTAATCAATAGGAAAGGCGGATACTGGAGGAAACCGTGACCCCAATGTCCCCTCGCACCTCAGGTTTATCATCCTGTATGGTGACAGAGGCTCCGCCCCTCACCCAGCCCTCAGCCCCACATGACACCATTGTCCTCTCCTTGGCTGACTGGGAAAGGAAACAGGAAATGTTGGAGAAACAGGCACAGACAAACCAGAGTAACAGACTTACACACAGGTGGAGTACATACAAAATCCATTTGAAAACAAATAATTTTTCCACAAGAATAATGGTAACTTACTATAGTAACAAACCCTACATAACATTTTAATTACAATTTTAATGTCAAATGCAATTTATTTCAGCTGATTTTGATGTACTCTGGCAACCTGTCATTGGAAAAGGTGTAATGGTCAAGTACAGATGCAAGTGTTGATATCATAACTCTGCACACAGGATATGTCTGAAAGGATGTTTCAATGTTAATATAACCTCTCTAGCCCTGATCAAGTAATCACACCAGCTCAGCAGAATGGTCAGAGAACTGAACCTCAGGAGAGCCAAACAGCTACACCACAACTGCAGTTTATACAGGGTAAGACACAAACACTAACCCTGGGTCAAAATGGATGTCCTAAATGACAAAATGTAATTTATAAAATAAAAAATAAAGTTATTTTTCTTGGTTTCATACATTTTTGATTATCTACAAAGAAAAAAAAATAATCGACTGTAAAATGTCAAATGAAGCAACCATCATGTAAAAAGTAACTTCAATTAAATTCAAAAATGTTTTCAAACACAATTTTCAACATCAATTATTATTATATTCATTAAATATCATGACCTTGATTTGGAGGACAATATGTTTTTAGAAATAACCAATCTTCTTATAACAACATTTTAGATATTTTTAAATCTAATATTAAATAAGTCATTAATATATTTATATTTAGTTATATTATATTATATTATATTATATTATTCTAAATAATAGCAATATTATTATTATTATTATTATTACTATAATACAACACTCTATATAATAGAGTGTGTGTGTGTGTATATATGTATATATGTGTATGTGTATATATATATATATATATATGTGTATGTGTATGTGTATGTGTATATATATATATATATATATATATTTTCTTTTCATTAATATCAAATAATTTTATTAGGATTACATCATTTGACCTGAAAAAAGCTTTCATAAAAAAAGAAAATATCTGATATTGTTTTCTTAATACACACAAAAAAAGGATCCTTTTTTGAATTTCTCTCTTGTAGTTTATGCCATGCTGACTTCTACCAACATTTCTGAAATCTTTCAATTATAAAAAATAAATAACTTTTATATAATACAACTTAAAAATAGCCTTGTTAAAACTTAAAAAAGAAAATACAAGAACATATTTTTTTAATGTTTCACTCGTCTGCCACAATGTTTACGTATATACAAAACGGTTACACTTTATTTTAAGGTGTCCTTGTTACAGTGTAATTATACATTTAAGTACTGAGTAATATTAATTAACTACATGTACTTATATGGTTAGGTTTAGGATCAGGGTTTGGCTTAGGGTTACTTGCATGTAATTATGCATAATTTATTGTTATTATAATAGTAAATACATGTAACGTGTAACAAGGACAACTTAAAGTGTTACCTGCACACTCAATTAAAACAGCAAATTAGGAGACACGCATGCTTTTTCTCTTTGTATTATTACAGATGGCTCTTGGAGCTGTAAGTCTAAAGACAGACAAGAAGATTTGAAGAAAACTGCCTCGCTGGATCGTAAACCGAGTCCACCTCAGAGCCAGACCACAAGGATGAGGAGGTGTGTGTGTTTGTGGGAATGCATGCTGGCTTGCATACACACATATGTGCCAAAATGCTGCTTGGCTTTGCTATGAGTGGAGGATGTTTTAAAGATCAGGGGCCTCATTTATAAAACTTTACGTAGAATTCATCCTAAAAGTGTACGTACGCACGAAAGCTAGTTTCTGCATACACACAAAAGTTTTCCGATTTATAAAACCATTCGTATGCCAGAACCTGCGCAAAAATCCTTTTATAAATCCCAGTCAGAGAAAGATTGTGCGTACGTGCATTTCCACCCCGTCTCCTCCCCGAAATCACCATATATGGAGCTTACCATGCCTAGTTTTATTATGCATAACCTCATCTGCATATCATTTCCATGCATATTCCCATCAACGTGTCACGCCCCTGGACTCTTTGTGTTGTTTTCCCTCCCCAGGTGTGCCGTGTTCCCTTTAATTAGTCATTCCATGCACCTGTGTTCCCCTAATCACCCAGTGTTTAAAAGCCCCAGTCCTTTCAGTTAGTGTGAGAAGTGTGACAGAAGGACCGACCAAAACAGTAACTTCCGTGTTTTCCCCTCCGTTTGTTTTCCGTTTTTTTTCTCAGTGTTTTTCTTTCCGTTGTGTCCCCATGGATCCCTTCACTCGCCCCGAATTTCTCCTCCTCCTGCTGGAGCAGGGAGATAAAGCTCTCGAGGACCATACCAAACTGTTCCTGTTGGTCGCGAACATCACCAGCTATCCGGATGACGCGCTCTACTCTTTCTATGACGCAAGCCTGAACGCCGAGTGCAGAGCGTTGTCGTCCGAGGATGGTCCTCGGGAGGAATTCGCCGCCTTCGTGGAGTGGACTCTGGCGAGAAACGGGTCGCCCCTCACCATCTGCCCTGTGGAGGATCTCGCCGGATCCACTCCGGACCCAGAGCCCAGCCCACCATCTCCCCGCAGTACGGAGCATCAGCCTGAGCCCACCGATGACTGCCTTGGTCGCCAGAGCCCTCGGCTCCACCCTGGCCCCCCGGATTCTCGGCATCCCCCTGGCTCGTTGGCTCTCCGTCTCCACCTCGGGCTCCTCCACCACCTGCTCCGCCGCCATTGGCCATTCCTCCTTCATGGCTCCTCCCTCCGTCGGCTCCACCGTGGGCTGCTGTTATGGCTGTGGCCTGGGTCCTGCTGTGCTCTTCCTGCTCTGGGTCCCTCCTGTCGTCTCCTCCCTGGAATCTGTCTGCCGGCCCCCTCCCGGGTGTCCGTCCTCCTCCTGAGCCTCCTCCCTAGTTCCCACCCACTCCCCTCCCCATGTTGTTTCTACGGTGCGAGGACGCACCTTCCGGGAGGGGGGAGTAATGTCACGCCCCTGGACTCTTTGTGTTGTGTTTTCCCTCCCCAGGTGTGCCGTGTTCCCTTTAATTAGTCATTCCATGCACCTGTGTTCCCCTAATCACCCAGTGTTTAAAAGCCCCAGTCCTTTCAGTTAGTGTTTGTCGGTCCTCAAACGTCATTCCTTGTGTTCCAGTGTCTCCTACGTTCCCCGTGTGATCATTAAAGACTGTGAATTGAAGTTATCTCCGTGTTTCCTCGTTCCTCGCTCCTTGCCTCCCGAGAAGTGTGACACCACGTGACACCATGTTTAACTCCATCAAAGGCATTAAGGAGATATGGACTATAAATGCCATTTCTGCCATACAATTTACATTGCTAAAAATCATACAGTATCCTTGTTATGTTTTAGAATACATATATAAAAAAATAAAAACAAAATTGTATAAAATACTTCTCGGAGAAACATTTTAGAAAAGAGTTAATTCATTCATTTACACTGATCGAATAGTAGGCTATTTTAATTGTTTTAAATAAATCAAATTTATGCCATTTTGCTGATAATGTACACATATGTTTTAGGGTATTTATATAGGCTAGTTTGGCCTACTTATATTTTGCAGTAGAAAATGCAGTTGTCTGACTCGGCGCGTCACTGACAAAATTTAAAAAAAATGAAACGTGCAAATCTTACAGTTTCTTTTAAATTCTATCCTTCAAATATGACTATTACAGAAGGAGTCTGCCTGCACACATCAACATCAGTAGTTGTACAGTATTGTCATTGGACCTATTCAAACCAGCCGATGGACCGTTCATCCACCGAATCCAGCAGTGTCTTCCATAATATCGAAGTGCGCATCATTTCCTTGTTCTCACTAAAAATATTTTCTCATAACGTGAGATCTGCAGTTTAGTTTAAGGAGGAATTATTGTGCACCTAGCACTCCTCCCTGTCATTAAAACATAGCATGCCACAGGAAAAGTCATCAAAAATATAGCGCATCCACTACAAATATGTCTATTCATATAATCTTTAACTTCTGCATAATGACTTTATGTAATCTCAGTGCTCATCTCCATTAATGAGTGTCATTTTTAATCTAATTGTTTATATCAAAATGAAAACAGAGTTTAAAATACTTAATTGTTTTGCTCACTGTAGTAAAAGTGTGCGTACGCATGGGTCAGAGTTTGCGTGCAGGTGCGCAAATTTTCCCGTCAAGTTTGTTTTTATAAATCCCATCTTTTGCATAGGAAGTGGCGTATGCCTCTTTCAGGGCATGTTTCAGGTTATAAATGAGGCCCCTGGTCATATTAAGTTTTTTTCTCGGGCCATGGAACATTTCTGCGTATGACTTGCTTTCACAGTTGTGTGTCTCTATGCTTGTGTGTATGTGTGTGCGGCTGCTGGCAGGACTGGGTCGTGTGAAAATGTTTTAGGGACACACCCATCAAAATCACCCACACCATCACAAGACACGCCACCTCCATCACCCAGCAGGTATGAGCCTTCCCTCCAACACATACTCAATCACATGGAGATGCATGTGTGTGTGTGTGTGTGGAGCATTTTAGTAATAGGCTTCGAAAGCATTTGTGCGCTTCACCCAGACACCGTGATTGCGTCATGCTGTTGAACTGGCCTGTAAGATTTCTTGCATTTAATTTAAATGCAAAAGTATTGGTTTAAAGGAACAGTTCACCCAAAAATGAACATTTGCTGAAAATGTACTTATCCTCAGGCCATCCAAGATGTAGATGAGTTTGTTTCTTCATTGGAACAGATTTAGAGAGATGTAGCATTGCATCACTTGCTCACCAATGAATCCTCTACAGTGAATGGGTGCAGTCAGAATGAGTCGAACAGCTGATAAAAACATCACAGTAATGTACAAGTAATCCACACTTCAGTCCTTCAATTAGCACCTTGTGAAGTGAAAAGCTGTGTGTTTGTAATAAATTCATCATTAAGGCATTTTAACTTTAAACTATTGCTTCTGACTAAAATACGTCCATAATCCATAAAACTGTCCATAAAATGCAAAACTGTTGATTTAGGTTCAGCACATGATGATCCAAGTTGTGCCACCATGATAATAAGGCATAATCATTGCTTTCATTTCAGTAGTTACATAATCATGCTAAATGCTTTGCGCACAATCCTATTTCTTTAAATTGCGTGCCTGTATTGCATTTGTTACCTCTTTAAAGTCTTATTTTTTATTATTGCTTTTCATCCAAGACCTGACAAGAAAAGAATGTTTTACATTAAAGGGTTAATGTGAATTAAGTTAATTTCCAAAAATGAAAATTAGTCCATAAATTACTCACCCTCAAGTCATCCTATGTGTATATGACTTATATACGTATACGTATAGAAAAATATCTATATTCAAAAAGTAATAATCACTTTAATCTAGCTTGCGCTCAAACCTATAATAAAATTTTGAAGAAAATCGAAATTCAAACCAAAGAGATTTGTATTAAAAATAAAACATATGTAGCTTTTAAAAATATATAATAATGTTGGTCTCAGACTTTAAGACCCCATTTTGACCTATTTTATACTATTTATAATCCTACAAATATTAAAATTTTTCTTATTACTTTTCTTCTAAGACCTGACAAGACAAGAATGCTAGTTGTTAAAGTTTGACATGAATATATGGCTTTGTATGGCGCCCTCTGCAGGTCAGTAAGTGGAAAGAAGCTTTGCTCCAGTTGTGCACATCCGTTGGGTAAAGGAGCAGCTATGATCATTGAAAGCTTGGGGTTGTACTTCCATATTCAGTGTTTTAAGGTAAAACTCAGATACTTTTGTCTCTGTGTGTGTGTAAGAAACTTGTGCATCCTCTTAAATCATTATCTGATGTGTTCTAGTGTGGCATATGTAAAGGGTTACTTGGAGACACAAGTGCTGGAACTGACGTCAGAATTCGAAATGGACTTCTTAATTGTCAAGAATGCTACATAAAATCAAGAGGTGAGGCTTAATGTGTTTTAATTGTATCTTAAACATGATCCTAAATGTGCAGGTTACTGTAATTCCCTTTTTTCTATATTTGGTATCATAAACAGGAAAATCTTAATGACATTAGCTTTAAATTATTTTAGTAATTTCTTCAACTATGGGGCCTGTTGACATTTAGAAAATTAACTCTTAAAACACTTTTCACAATCTCACTAGTTCATTTGTTGATATACGTAAATCAAATGAGAGTTTTCTGTCAAGTCTTCACCACATTTCAATTTCTGTACTGTGGTTAATAACATTCTGTGGTGGAAATAACATTGATTTACAGAATAACGCCTTTGCCTTGCTTAGTCTAATTTTATTGCTAGCATTTTATTTATCCTAAATACACACAATTACATCTGTTATTATAAATGTATTTTTTAATGTAATTACAATTTAATAAGATTTTCAAAATGTTTACATCATTTGACAAAAGAAAATGTAGAAATAGTCTATTAAAGTAATATTTGCATTCATTTTTCTTTTTCTTCACACATCACATATGACATATTTCATATCAATCAGTATTAATTGTAAGTAATAATTTACCATAAAATATATTTTAAAGTAAACATTTATCATGTTTTTTTCTTATTTTTATGATTGATTTTTTTTTCTTATTTTAAGATTGAAAATCTGGGTCTAGTACAAGGGTAAAACAATCCTAAACATATTTTCAGGACATTTTTAATGTGCTCCTTCCTTGCAGCTGCTGGCCAGCCAACAACATTGTGATGCCTCTGCACTTCTGACAAAGAAATGTAAGTGAAATCAGGTTAAACTGACCCAGGACCATACCCAAGAAGAACGGATTTTACGTTTATACAACGTTTTCCTTACAGCACAATCAAGCATAGCCATTAAAGTCAAAACTGGAATCATGGACACATGATGGGTTTTCCTCTGGACTTTCTTTGACTGTCATTGTGCTCGCTGAAAAACGACTTTATCGCTTACATGATAAAAAGTCCATAAGATATTACTGCGATTACAGAGACTACAGCGAGTCTGTTCATACTGTTAGTTTAACACTTTAGAATGAGAAGTAATGGTAGCACTTTACCTCACAGTGGCCATGTTACACACATCTCAATAGCAATAAGGCCAGAAACATACTTTACACAAATGCAGATTGATGTGTCAATATCAATCCTCAGTTCTAAAGGCTGAGATAGAGATCAGTCAAATGCCTGTGCCATTAACCCAAATAATATCTAGGTAGCTGTTAACACTCTCACAACACTTGTCAGTGGGGCAGTACCTTTTCAGAATATACTAATGCATACCTAATATGTACCTTAAAGGTGCTAATTATTTTTTGAGAGTGTATAAACGATATAAAAATCTCAAATCAAGATTCTCTTAAAACGGTTGCCTCATGACAGTAGTTTGCCTAAGAGAGAAAACTGATTTGTAGAAGCCAAAGGGTCAAGGCTAACTACAACATTCTGGGAGCAAAAAGCATCTTTTGCTATTGACGGCCATTCAAAAGTAGCATTGTATTCTGACTAAATAAGCAACTCAAGGCTGTAAACATGTCTTAAACATTGGGGGGACCATTTTTTGGAGGGGGTTTGTAATGGTCTTTTTATTTAAAGAATTAAAGAATTCTTTAAAAACATGAAAGAAATAAGAAAAATAATATTTTTTGTAAAAAAAAGAAGAAAAAAGAATAGCGTAATAAGAAAAATAATTTTTTGTAGTTATCTATTTGAACTGTTTGCTACCGAGCCCCATGCGGAGCCCTAGGGTGCGCACATTTGACTAATTCGTTCCCTCGATGTACTAAAACGTGCACACGATTACTGTTTCGTTCTCTCGATTTATAAATCGTGTGCACGATTTAGCAAATCGAGGGAACGAATTAATAAATCGTGCGTACAATTTATAAATCGAGGGAACGAAATAGTAAATCGTGCGTACTATTTTTTTTCCTGCATGCCATGTGCGGGGCTCCGTAGTTTGCAAATATTTTTATTTTAAAATTTGCCACCATTCACTCTTATTCATATGCCTATGTGAAAAATGGCAACATAATTCGAAATGGCAAAAAAAAAAACTGGATATTACTGTTGGTTGTTTAACATTTTTATGTTATAAAAAAAGTTTCAAATATTAAACATTTAGCTACTTACCTTGCACTCTTTCACTATTCGTTATCTGTGAACAGTAAAGCCAGCGTGAATATGACTTTTGACATTTTTTCAACATCAAGAATATCACATATTGACTCTGGTGGTTACAGCACTTAAGCAATTTATAAATGGCAGATATGACATTTTCACGTTTTTGCCAGTGACATTTTTGATGCCACTTATAAGTGAAATTTACGTCATAGTTTAGTATACTCACTACTGAGGGTGCATAGCTAGAATCATCTACATTCACATACTTGTTTAGAGTATGTTTTGGGCCTAACACCAATGACATGGAATTATAAACTTCCACATATTGACTACAGTTGTTCATGAGTATTACTCAAGTACTTGCGTAAATCCATTGTAACATGGGCACTGTAATGTAGAGTGAGACTGAATCCATTTTCATTGTGAGGAACATGAGGTAGCACAAAAGTCCAGTTTTCATTTAAGAAAAATTTGCATTCATAATAATCTCAGTTTTTGTAAAGGTCTTGCAGGTGTCACATTATTTTTTAAATGTTCCACTAACAGACGAATGCATAATGTGCGACTCTTAGGCCTAGCTGATTCGTCCTGATGCCTTAACTGACAACATGAAATAAATACAGATAAGATTGTCCATCACTTTCTTCATTTATGTTTTGAAAACACGTCTTCATGAACTCGAGTGGTTTTGATTGAAATGTTCTGTTCCTTCCTCCGTTTCTCATTGCCTGTTTTATCTTGTTTGATCAGTGAGGGGTTTGATACTTTATTTGTGCAGTATTGTTTAACAGCATGTTGCTAATGGGTAGATCTTACATTTCCATTCGATTATTTTTCAAAATTGGTTATTAATATTTACGTTTTGCTCTGCAGTTGAATAGTAAGAAGATTGCATGATCCCTGAAACTTTCCTTGATTATGCTTTACATTACAATGTCCATGTTACACATACATTACACGCTACTAAAATGAATGACTAAAGTAATAACATTAACTGTGCAAAGCAGCTCCACATAATCAGAAGTATATTATGTAATAACTTATAAACACTGTAATGTAAAGTGTAACCCTTTTTTTCCGTTTTATGTGTTCTGTTGCCTTTCTCTCTTCTGTAATGTTGTGCCTTAGAAATGCGCTCCTAGATAATGTCTAGTGTCGGCCACCCTTGCATCCAAAGCTTCAAGTTCCCAATGTGTATTGATGAGAGTATTATGCATATGCACTGAGCACTCTGCTTTTACCCTTGTACTTTATTCAAACACTATGAATGTGCAAACAAGAGATTTAAAAAATGAAACTAACACCCTCTGTAAGCTTTTCACTCATTTCATGTGCATTTAGAGATGTAAAATTGTTAAATATATCTATATTTATCTCAATCAACTGGAAAGGATTGCAATCCTAAATGTCACCAAAATATCAAATTCAACAACGAGGGCAGATTGTATTCAGCAACACTAGCATATAATTCCTGCTTTTTTAACTTCTGCTTACGCTTTCTGTTAATATTTGAGATTAAAAGACATTGTCATTTAGATGCGGGGGGTTTTGATTGTTGCTTGTATATCGTTTGTTTTATTTTGTGACATTGTAAGAATATGAACTGAAACAGAAGTAAGGCAATAATTACTGGAAAGAGTAGCCAAGGATGAGTGAGATGTGTGTGACAAATAACTTCATATTCTGTATTTATTATACCCTTTTAAAAATGAGCGATACAAGACAACCTACAAGACGCTGAAATGCAATGGCTTTTATAGCAAGTGTATGTTTTTAAATAAACTGTAATAAACTATTTTAAATGCACTATTTTTTTCCAATGTAATTTCATTGCTCTGTGTGCATTTTATGTTAAATAATGTTAGTTGTAAATCTAAATATTTGTTATTATAAATAACTGGAGCAAACATCTCGTCCAGAACAAAAAGCAGTAAAAGATTACATATGTTGACTGATTATATGACACTTTTTCTATCCACTTTCTTTATTTGCATTTTAATAAAATCATTAAAAAAGATATGTCAAGTATCTCTCCCATACTTGTACAAAATGTAGACAAAAATTCCCTAAGCATTATCGGTTTTAGTTGTCAATGAATAGGCCAATGCATTATTAATTTCCTATTTGCATGAGATCAGAAAAATAACATAAATGAGGTAATCAAATGGCACTATAGAGATCTAGACAGTGGGTTCTGATGTTTGAACTGGCACATCATGTCTTTCACTGCTCAACACATGCAGGCAGTCGTTGCACAGTGAGTTTGGTGACCTCTTGACCTCTGTGTTTCAAGAGAACAGACCCCTAACAAGGGCAGTTGGTCTGGAGCCTGGTCCTCTCTGTGACTGCTGGTGTCCTGTTTGTGGTCTGGGTTTAGGGTAAGAGTGGGTTGTGTGCTGTCTGGGTCAGGGACTGTCAGCGTTTTGGAGCTGTCATGGGAAGGTGAACTGTTCACTTCGCAAGATGACTCGGTCCATGTAGCTGCACGTTCCTGTTTGCGAAATTTAGCACGTCTGTTCTGGAACCAGACCTAAATAAAATCAAATAAACCCATTTAATGAATAAATACTTCAAAATGTACCAGACCTAATTAATTCCAATCGACAGATACATTATTTTGCCAAAAGTATTGGGACACCCCCTTCTAATGAACAGGTTTGACTACTTTAGTCATTTCCATGAGTACAATGTTTAATGTTTAAATACATGAATTATATATCTTTGTTGCAACAGTTTTGGAAGTGTCTAAAATGACCATATGTACAAGTCATTGGTGTTTGGTGATGTGTTTTTGTCTCAAGGTCTGCATTTAATGTCACACCAAATGTGTTCAGCTGGTATTAGGACTTGGTTTTCTGTAGACCAGTCAAATCAATCATTTCTTTTTGAACCTTGCCTTATACACAGAGGCATTGTCATGAATAGAAAAGGGTCCTGTCCGAACTGTTGCTATAAAACTAGAAGCACACAATTCCCTAGAATATCATTATATGCTTAAACATTTAACATTGTACTCATGGAAATGACTGAAGTAGTCAAACCTGTTCATTAGAGAGGGGGGAGGGGGAATCCCAATCATTTTGGCAATATATGAACAATATAACTTTAATATAACATAACTTTTTTGGGAAAGGTTCAGGATTTGTGACATTTTAGTGTTTTTGTTGAGGGCAATCAGCTAGAACACATTAATGTCAGATACACATTAGCCAATATTAGATATTTATGAAAACATTTTAAATAAGAATAGGCAGAATAACCTGTATGACTATGAAGGGGTTCTTGATGTATCTTAGAACCCAAAAAGAACATACGCAGTTGAAGAATGATCAGAGCAGAAGCTCAGATACCTGAACTCGAGCTTCAGTAAGATGGATCTCCTGCGCGAGCTCCTCTCGGGTGTAGATGTCTGGATAATGAGTCTGTGAGAACACGCGCTCGAGCGCTTTCAGCTGCGCGCTGGTGAAGATGGTGCGGACGCGCCTTTGTTTGCGTCTCTCCTGGACGCCTCGTTCGTAAGGCAGAAGATTAGGATGAACTGGAAATTGAATTAAATTTTAATTAAACACAGATATATATGTTTTATATTGCAGCAACTGTTTACGCCCTTCAAAAGTTTGGGGACAGGAAGATTTTTTTTAAAGGCTCTTATTTTAAAGATACAGTAAAAACAGCAATATTGTTACAATTTAAAATAACCATTTTCTATTTTAATAGATTTTAAAATGTAATTCATGTGATAGCAAAGCTGAATTTTCAACCGCCATTACGCCAGTCTTCAGTGCCACATGATCTTTCAGAAATCAGTCGCCAATTTGGAATATTGTGCATTTATTACACTTTTCAAAATGAGTGATAAGACAACCAACAAGAAGCTAAAATGCAATGGCTTTTGTAGCAAAAGCATGTTTTTAAACAATATAATAGGCTACATTGTTTTAAATGCACTTAAATTGCATTTGACCCACTTTCTTCTGTAATAACACCTTTTAAAATAATGATTAATATGCTATATAACGAGCCTTTTTAATAATTAATAATTTTATTATGCTGTTTTGGTGCTCAAGAAACATTTTTTTTTTTCGTGAAATCTTGATATAAGCTACTTTCTGCATGATACGTTGATGAATGGAAAGTTCAAAAGAACAGTATTTATTTGAAATTTAAAAAATGGTTTAATCTTTAAAACAATTGTAAAATCTTAACAAGGATGCATTAAATTAATCAAAGGTGATTTTTGATCAGTTAAATTCATCCTTGCTGAACAAAAGTATACTATTAATATTTCAAAATAAATTCATTAAAAATTAATTTGAAAATATTTTCCCCTGCAAAATGGTTGGCTGTCAATTTTTAAGTTTAAAATGTTAGCCAATGCAAATAATAACATCCTTAATAAATTTGATATACATATACTAATAAAAATGGGATTAAAGCATAAACTAACCTGTTATGTAGTGTGAGGGTTGGTGAGATCCAGGCGCAAGGAAATGGCAACTGGTTGTGTTTCCCAG